CCCCATTGCGACACAACAGCCGCAAGTCTTGCGTGTGTGTTGCCCTGCGGCTCCAGGCGAATAAATAGATAGGCCGTTTGCTGCCTCCCTTTCTCTTCTTCATCCACTCACTCCAACGCACAAACAGATTCCACCCGCTTCAACTCTCCAATCTACGAGTCGATCACTACACAGTCGCTATCTTCAAGTAACTACTACCAACCCACATCATCAACATGCGTTTCTCCATCGCCTCCGTTGCCATCATGGCTGGTGCCGTCGCCGCTGTTCCTCAGTACGAGGTCCAGCCCATCTCCCAGATCTCCGACGGTCAGATCCAGGCTCCTCCTGCCACCAGCGTCGCTATCCCCGCTGTCCCCATGCCCTCCGGCTCCATGGTCTCTGAGATCCCCGCTGTCCCCATGCCTTCCGGCTCCATGGTCCCCTCTGGTGACATGACCTCCACTGGTAAGTTTCTCTGCGACTCTACTCATTTCATCATGATACTAACAACACCAGTCGCCGTCACTGAGACTGCTTCCGTCACCTCGGTCGTCGTTGTCCCCACCGCCACTCCCGTCGTCCCTGGTGGCTCCATGTCCGTCCCCATGGGCTCCAACACCACCATGGTCACCGGTACCGGCTCCATGAGCGCTACTGCCTCCACCCCCGCCTCTGAGGAGACCTCTTCCGGCGTCGCTGGCAGCGCTACCGAGAGCGGCGGTATCCCCGAGTCCACCGGTGCTGCCGCTGGCAACATGGTCTCCTTCGGTGGCCTTGTCCTCGCCATCGGTGCCGCCATCGTCGCATAAGCGCCTCACCACCCTTTCTTTCCCCTTCTTCACGATATACCACCAACTCAGTCACGATTGGGTTGCATGTTTGTTTAAAAGCAACACGGAGTAACAACACATTTCCAAGCATTAATGGCGGGGATTTTTAATTCGGGGAACATTAAGGTCGGGGTTAGGGGTTACGAATGATTCTTCTTCTCATGTATCCTACTAATGCGACAATGTTCCAACGGGGATGCATACACATGGCTTGACATGTATAGATAGTTAATTCAACTGAGATATCAGTCGCCGAGAGGTGGCCTGAACCAAACTTTACTCCCTTCACCTGTGAATGCTCTTGAACAATGCTCTATCTTCATGAAGTGTAGTTCAGAAGAGTTTTCCTGGCTACCCTGTTTGACACATGTGAAAGCTCTCGACATATGCAGCTCAGCGCAAAGGAAAGTGGTACCTGGAACCGACCGCGCCAACGCATGCAAGATAATCGCCGACCTTCCAGCTGCCCCTGCCTCGGTCAACCCGCAAGACGCGCCCTACCTCCTCTCTTTGCGCGACCACACGACTACACCTACTCACTCTTCCTGCTGCTGCCTCCGACAGCGACGTACATCCCTTATCGCGCGTCCTCCCCTCAGCGCAATACGAGAAAGACAGCGGGCGCGCGGGCGACCCCGAGCCAACGAGCTGCCCCCAGCGCATTAGCTCCACACCACTAGCCAAAACGCTACGTGGGCAAGCTTTGCAGCTAGAAAACGATGAAAATGGCACTTGGCAGGTTGGCTGAACTAGCACCGGTCAAGTGCAGTGTGCGTCTCAACCAATTTTATCATCCTGGAGCAGAGCTAAAGGGCGGAGTTTGGAATTGTCGTGTGGTAGTGTTGGTGTATATGTTTTGGCCCTGTCTGGATCGGTGGTTTGGCTGGAATGGTAGGGAGCTAGAGGTGTCCCCACATGTTCATGCTTGGATGACGGGTGAGGGAGTTCTACGGCGCCTTGTTCCGACGAATGAACGTTTGCACATGTGAGAGCTCTTATGCTATCGGAATAAATGTGTGGGAGTTGGTCGGGAAGTTGCTTAAGTGATGTGAATATTCCGGGTATCATTCTAGCTATACATGCATCGACTACCTTGCCTCTATAACCTGCGTCAACAACTGTCCAAACACGTTAAACCCTTCGTCCGCAGTGAAAATGCGTTTGGGTATCTCAAGCTCTACTTCCGGCTCCTTCTTCAGATCACGGTCAAGTTCGACATCGAGCAGCGCTGTGTAAGAGTGGTCCAAAAAGTCTTCCAGGTTGTACGCTCGCTTTGTGAATTGCTCCGAGATTATCTTTGCCAACGTCGCAACGTTGGGGTGGTAATGCGACTGTAGTGCCTCTAGCTCCCAGACACTGCTGTCAATGGCGTTTGTGAGGAGAGGGTCCAGCTCCTCCATGTCGAACGGGTCGTCCATGCCTTCCCCTTCCAGCTCTTTTTGCAGAGCCGGGTCCCGGATCTCGCGGTGCATCATGAAAGTGCAAGCTGGATGTCTCTTGAACATGTTGTAGACCCAGGGTATTACGACTACGACACCCGCGGGCGGGCCGTGAAGAGCTAATCGCGAGAGACGCTTGATGAAACTGGCGACGAGGTTGGCGGGTAAATGGGACGAAGACATGAAGGTGTCTAGTAGGCGGAAGAAACGCGATCGGTGTTTGGAGTGGAGGAGGCCTTCGTCGAGGAGGGAGTACAGCTTGAGGTAGAATGACGGGTAATCGAGGTTCTTCTCTGAGATCAGGTAGTAGATTCCGGACAGTGCTAATAATGAGGTTGCGCCGCCCACGTTGTAGGAGTCTGTCAAGAAGTCTGACAAGATTTCAGGCTGCTGAAACCACGGCGCGATCTGGTGAGAGAAGTTGTGCAGGATAGACTTGCGCTGCTCTTTGGAGAGACCTGTGCGCATCGTGGCTAACCATGCTGCCTGTGCCTTTTCCTTGTATGCTTGGAGGGACGGTATCGGGCTCTTTCCTTGCACTTGTACGTAGAAGTTCTGGATGTCGGTCTTTGATTTGGGGACTTCGGTGAGTGTGAACAGGAGGGATAGGCTGTTCGCAGCTACGAGTTGGCGCGTCGTAATGTCGAGTTCGCTGTCCAGTACATCCCTGGGCGTGTTAGTGGGAGTCATGAGGCCTAGGATGTGTATATACTTACTTGATGCTCTGGAAGGTCTGGTATCGGACATCGTCGAACTGCTTAAGGTACTTCTCTGCAAACTCCTCGCGATTCAGATCGTCTAGCGGGAGACATAGCAGCACCCGAATCAGTCTCGGCAGCGGCCCGTTCTTAATCTTGTAGTCCTTCTGCGACTTCGCCTCCTCCTTGACCAATCGCAGAACCAGTGTCAGGGCCACAGACTGCTTCGGGGGGTGCTCGCTGCCGAGGAAGTCGTCGATGAGAATGTCGGAAAGTTCTCGGTAGCGCTCTTTCAGCCACGAGACAATGACACCCTCTGCCTCGCTCATACCCTTGCTCTTCACCATGTCGCCTGTCACGAGTAGGCGTGAAAAGACTCGGCAGAGGGCCACGGCGGCGAGGATTGGTCCCTCATTCTCGGCGTCTGGCTGTCTCGCTCGCTGCAACAGAGTTGCAATGTTGTTGTAGTGTTTTCGCGATTCGAGGATTTGTGCTTCGAGCTGTACAATTTCCGACTGGATGTCTTCGCCGTCGTCGCTGGGGGATTTGCGCCGGCTCTTCGATTTGGATTCGCCGCGCTCTGGTTTGCTCGGGTCCCTCTTCCTCTTGACACCAGACGTGCTGGCCGACTTTGCACCCGACATGTTTTCCTGCGACTGATTTCTTGGCGTGGAGTTGAATTGCTCGCGGGCGCAAAAAAAGTTGGCGATGTCGAAAAGTGAGGGCGGGCCGGGCGAAGTTCGGCTAGCGCAAGGGCATCGGCGCTTGGCTCAGAGTTCACGCAGCATCACGAAAAGCTAGCTCTCGACGACGACCAGCACCCCAAACTCCCCACGCCCATCAGACAGCCATGGCCTCACGTCTTGCAAGGAGCGCGGTCGGTGAGTAGCACCTGCCCGATGATTCTGCGATGCCATTGACCCCGTGCTCACCCCAACAGGCGCCGCCCGTCTCCGCCCATCACTCCCTCTCCGCGCCCTGCCCTCCATCGCCGTCCAGGCCCGCTACAACTCCAACCTGCCCCAGGAGGACCCCAAGAAGAAGGCCCAGACCGTCCTCGACTCGATACCCGTCCCCGGCAACAGCCCCCTCACCAAGGCCGCCGTCCTCTCCGCCGGCGCCGGTCTCAGTGTCGCCGCTATCAGCAACGAGCTCTACGTCGTCAACGAGGAGTCGATTGTCGCCCTCTCGCTCCTGACCATCTTCTGGGCCGTTGCCAAGTACGCCGGACCTGCCTGGGGAGAGTATGCGCAACAGCAGGCCGACAAGATCTCCGGCATCTTGAACGCTGCCCGCCAGGACCACACCACCGCTGTCAAGCAGCGCATCGAGAGCGTCCAGGACCTCGGCGGTGTCATTGACATCACCAAGACCCTCTTCGAGGTTTCCAAGGTGCGACGCGACGGCAGAGGACATGCGAGGACCGAACACTGACAACCCCACAGGAGACCGCCCAGCTCGAGGCCCAGGCTTTCGAGCTTGAGCAGAAGACTGCCATCGCCGCCGAGGCCAAGTCCGTCCTCGACTCGTGGGTCCGCTACGAGGGCCAGGTCAAGCAGAGGCAGCAGAAGGAGCTCGCCGAGTCCATCATCGCCAAGATTGAGAAGGAGCTCGAGAACCCCAAGACCCTCAAGCAGATCCTTGACCAGAGCGTCACTGACATTGAGAGTATGTGGCATTGTATTTCAAACGTGCGGCATGAGCTAACAAGTAACAGGGATCGTCCAGAAGGCATAAGTGTCCTATAGCATCCACCAGTCAAGTCATCCAATGTTATATAAATCTGTGCAATAGTCAGGCTCGTTCAATATAGAGTACCTCAGGCTTGGGAAAAGGCCGAAATATTTCGTTCTGTCTCCTGAATACAAGTGTCTTTTCTGCCGTATCTTTCTGTTCGGTCTTGGACAAGGGGGACATTGGCCATCTGGAAACCCCCACTAACGTCTAGTATCGCCACTCGACACCACCATCAGCCCACTAACGATACACAAAGCCCTGCGTAGAGCCCACTTTCGCATCTGCGTAGAGACGCATGTAAGCATCGACGCCGTCTACACAATCAACTTTAGCGCTCTCTTGGCCCGCTGTATTTTCCCCCTTGGTGGAGCGGTGATGGTCTTTTTCGCGGTCCTCCACTTCTTCTCTACATCTGCATAGCGATCCTTGCCTTCCCAATCCCCCACAACACTGTCTCTCGTACCAATGCACGCATCAAAATGCTCCAAGCCGGGTGCCAGCTCAAGCACCTCTCGGTATTGCCCCGGATCCCAATACGGCTTTCCGGATGGTAAGGGGTCCATGGGAAAGTAATCGTAACCACCCATGTCAGATATGGTCAAGCTCCTCAAACTTCCATGAAGACTCTGCAACATGAAGCGTAGATATCTCGTTAGGGTCTCGTTGTCTTCGTACGCGAAGTCAAGGGTGTGGAGAGATTTGATCGAAGCTAGAAACCTTGTTATGATAGACATAGTGTCAACGCCGGCGTTGAGCCAGTCTCCACCCCTGTATGGGCGATATTGTCTCCTGATCATGAAGTTCGTCGTACTAATGTGAAATCTGAGGTATTTGATATTGATGGCGCGGTTGGTGAGGGAGGCGATGAATTGAGGCGACGTGCCGTTGGGGAGATCTAAGCGTTCCAGGCGTTCCCAGGACGTTGTGCGCGCCCACAAGTTGCAGTTTTGCTCTGTCAACGCAAACTCGCCCTGCCTCAAGGCCAACTCCAAGAGCGCAGGAAACTGATCGCCGGACTGGAAGTCGAAATGGAACATGCCGTAGTTGACGTATTCCTGTTGTTTGTGACAAGCTGCTTTACTGTCAAACCTCATAACAAAGAGAAGTAGGAGGGTTATAAGGAGTACTTCCTACATTGTTACAACATCATCTTAATATAACAAGTTTTCAACAATTCCCATTCTTCAAATTGCGCACGTTGGATAGATCCATCCACGTCGATAGTAGAGAGACGCAGAACTTGGAGGCCAGTTGACACAGTGTTTTTGATATATTCAAGTTCACTCAAGGAGTGTCCGGTCTGCTCAGGTACGGTTCCGTAAATTTCCGCATCGAGAGTGTAAAGTTGGGGAGACGAAAGCAGACTGTGGTCCAGAGGATGGAATCTGCGATTTTTCAGAATCCAGTGCAGATGCGCCGAGGGATGCAATTCGTAAAACAAGCTGAGCAGGGCTGGCGGAAGCTCGCAGTTCATACGCCAGGTAAGGTCTTGTAAGTTACTGACGCTCCTCAGGATAGTCTCCAGCAAGGGCAAAATCTCGAGCTTGAACTTGTCTTCATCCTTGAAAGGACCTAGTTTCAGATGCCTGATATATTCTCCAGTTTTTCCATTTCTGTCCCTGAGCCTCTCTAACATCGGCGATGACAGACTCGGCCCGAGGAGGGTGCGATCATGGATAGTAAAGTTGCGGAAGAACAAGTATTGAGACTCATTACGACATGCTTTAGAGACGAGACGAAAGTTGAAGAAGGCTTCCTGATTAGTGTCGTAAACCTGACAGGTGTGGTCAGAAGACGGAAACGAAGTGAAGCATTTGCTCAGGTACCCACGTCTTCTAGTACAATAAGGAGTATCGCTAGAGGCATGCGGAGTAGATGGCAGATAGACTTTGCAGTCATCTTGCCTGGTGGTCGCTTCGTGCGGCGAAGAGGGGACATTTTGGTGAAGAGAGAGCAAGGAGGGAAGACAGAATGCCGCCTGCCTTTCTTCCATGTTGATCATGGATATATGAAGCTATCAGACCAACAGGGCGCAGCAGCGTATTCATCCGTCCCTATACTCAGATTAGGCAGTACTGAACCTCTCTGAGCACGTAAAGGTCAGACCGCATCTTGCGAGGCTGAGCGAGCTACATGCCACGTTTGCCTCCCATCCGCGGCTCATCTGTATGTGCTTGCGTTTTTTACTTGCAGAGCGATATGAGTCGCATATCTGGTGGAACTACAGCAAGTCTTACTTGTATCGTGCTAATAAATTCAGATAACCTGCTTGCTTGGATGTCGTTGTAGTGATGTCGCAGGGCAGGAAGGTTCGGGCGCTGCCCCCCGGGGCCGCTTCCCACATCACACGAGTGATGATTGGGCGGCCACCGACACCCCAGCCGACTATCCATTCTGCTGCGCTTCCTGCCACTTCAACCCTTCTCCATCACTGCCACCCATCAGACAGGGTCAGTGTTTCTGCCTATCTGTTTTCGGCTGTATTAATATAACTATTTCACTATACGGCAGTGATATATGTGACAGGAGTAGCGCATATCTGACAATGAAAGTGGCGTGAGTGACCGAACGAGGCTGTCCCCAGGCAGCCAAATATCGAGAAACTCCCCTGCAAGTACTCAAAGTGACTGGCCGTTCAAAGAACGGGTTTCTACTTTGATAATCTGCCAAATTATAGAATAAGCGGTCAAACGAACTCTAGTTCTACACTATCACTGTAGCCGTTACCCACTCTCCATCATCGGCTCTATACGACCCGACAAACCGGCCACTGTCCTTCTAATCATACGTCTAACCGTCAGATCTAGTAGCCATGACAATCTGTTTCGGCGTCTGGAGGGCGTCGCCTCGTCAGCGCAAGCTGGCTCAAATCATGGCGAATCCCCGACACTCTGCCCCTTATTATCGAGGCCCTTCGCCAGCAGTTACTTACCAGAAGAATGGACTGGTGCAGATGGATCTCACTCCAGAGCATTTGCTTTCCAAGTAAGTACTATCTCCAAGGTTACGTCAGACGCTAATTTACTAGGACCCAACACAATGCGTCGACGAATCTCCTCTTGTTACCTGCGGAGATTCGTAACATGATATTTCAGGAAGTTCTAGGCGGCTTCCAGATATCAATGAACGTCCCCGGACTTGATATTTGGCAAAATAGTGGTGATGACTACAAGCCTGGAGAACTGCGAAAGCTCGCGTTTGTGCTGCCATACGTATGCCGCCAGATCTATACCGAGACCGCTGTCTTACCTTACGCACTCAACACGTTCGTCGTGAGCTGCCGTTCCCACCGCGATGCCTTTGCAGGAAACCGCAATCAAGCCCAGCTAGAAGCCATACAAACTATCCAAGTTAATAACCCCTTCCTTTTTGATTCCGTCAACGGAACGGGGTTTGGGGGCTGCTCACGGTACGCACGAGGATGTAGTTGCCCGTTCGGCTGGAAATCCTACCGTTCTCATTCCCCACCACCGTTAGCCATGCCGTTCACGCTCCTATTCCCGAACTTGCGGCGAATTTGGATTGAAGTTGACGTCACTGAAACTGGTTCCGACCTCAATTTCGTCAAGTTGTTGGCGCAACATGCTGGCTTCAATGATTGGAAGGATTATGTGACGATGCGGGAGCGTGGTGTCCTTGAGGTCGTCGAGGTTGTTGACCCTATCGAGATCGATGACCAGTAGCTCCTGATTCAGTTTCGGCGGAGCGCGTCTATCAAGATGCTACCAACCGTATTGGCCCGAGGTGGGGGTTGTCGTCATCCGTCGGATCTTTGTAAGAGCGTCCAAATTCAGGAAGCTTTGGTATGGTGGGATGACTCACACTAGAATCAAAGATGTTATCAATCTCGTTTTCACAGAGTATCTAGTGCGCATTTGTAATCAAACAATTCATTCAAAGTGCCACATGACAATAATCGTCAAGCTCGTATAGTCTGCCAAACAAGATGATACATTCACTGACATTGTCTCTTACCAATTTCGAGAATGCACGAAGAGAGACGCTACGAAAGTTTCTTACATTTATCGTGAGCTGGTAGCACAGTGAATGAGACTTTCCGTTCCCAGATGTGTATGGCTCTTGACTATCTGCGCTAATCCTGGTCCGACCAGTCGCGTGTTTGTCGCACAGACCCTTCCCACCTTCTCAGACTCCCAACTACCGCGATCATGGATCCGACATTGAGCGCGCGTCCCGATGATGCCCTACCGAATCCAGGAAATAGTCCCGAATATCTGCGCCCTCGGTAAGGAACAGAACTACCAATGTAGCAAGATTTTACTGACGAAACAAAGTACACAATCCAACGCGCGTACACGTCTTCTCGCTCTGCCTGCAGAGGTTCGCGAAAATATTTACAATTTTACCCTCGTTAGCAGCAATGAGGTCACCGTCGACAAGAAATGCGTCAGGTTCGACAAGGCACCAGCCCCCCACGTCCTCGCCTTACTGAGGACCTGTCGACAAATCTACATTGAATCGCGTCTGGTGTTTTACTCCGGAAATAATTTCAAATTTCCCTACGAAGTCTTCCTGCGCTGCTACCGGTCCAAGAACTGCATGCTATCGCGCGAACAACTGGAAACTATCCAGAGCGTTGTCTTCGGCCAGGCACGGCTTTACTACTGGTCCGGAACAGAGTGGGATTATCCCTGGATGGCGGGTAGGAAGATCTTTCCGAACTTAAAGAAGGCTGTGTTGCGGGGTCTTGATCCAAAGCAAATCTTAGAGCGTGATACTGTGGTGGGAGGGAGTGTCACTTGGGTGAAATACCTTGACATCCAGAAGGGCATCAAGTTTGAGGTCATCATCGAAGATCATTCATAGGCTGGGTAGCTGGCGAACTAATCAGGTTATCAATATCCAGGATGAGGGATGCGATGAGCTTTTCTGTGATGGAGATGGATTGGTGGGATCGATAGCATGTAGTCAGCGGGTAGGATTCCGGCGATGTTTTACATTGCTGGTCTAGCTCAGGCAACGCACCTGTTCTCAGCATTTCGCACCTCACAGAAGCCATAGCACAAGCCAACAGTCAATGAGCACAGTTGGTCGTCTTACAACAAGTCGCCGTGTATAAGAACAAATGCTAGATTGAGGGGTATGTAACACCAAGACTCGCATGCTCCGACAGCAGCAGCAAATATCAACACCATACAGTACCGTGCGCAAACCAGATACATGCCCCAAACATACAGGAAGAAGGTTGACACACACACACAAGGGAAAAGCGACTGCCAGATACAAATGCCCGCAAGACATGAGAAGACCATAAGGGGAGAAATTGTCGAATCGGGTCAAAGGGAGCCCAGAGCTCCAAGTAATGCATGCTTTCGCTGCTATGCTATGCTGAACTGAACAATCGGCCGTCGTTTTGGAAGATGTAAAGGTGGTAGTTTTTGGTGGTTGGGTATACGGGAAAGGGGGTTCGTCGTGAGGAAGGTCGTGACAAGAAGGAGGGTATCGATGGAAAGGAAGTGGGCGAGTCGAGCGGCGAAGGCTATGGCCACCAGTTCATCCTCTTGTAGCTCTCAATGACCTCTTCGACCTTTTCTTTGGTGATCTTCTCTACGTTGTATCTGGTGGTTTGTTAGTATATCGCCGGCTTGATATTTTATGTGAATAGTAGTCTTACTTGAAGCCTGTCTCCTTCTCGAACAGACTCCCGTCCATGCTCAGATCTGCATCTTTCAGCAGCTCCTTCTCCATGTACGGTGTCAGCGGTGTCGATTGGCTGATGCCAGCTTTTTGTTGCAGTTCTGCCCAGGGGTCTAGCGTCTCGTCGTTGACTTCGTCGACGACATGGTCGAGGTTCAATCGTGCAAAGGCTGAGATGAGTGTGCCGTGGAAGCCGGTTTCGATGTTGAAGATCTTACCCATGAGCTGGGCAGTGTCTTTTTGGGCTAAATGTCATGTCAGTACTGCAGTAGATAGGATAACGTGGTGTGGAGAGGCCTTACAGTGATTCGCATGATCCACAATGTTGAAGGTGGGTGCCGGTCTGCGTCCTGCGGGCCCCTTCATGTACCACTCGACACCATGCCACAGCGCTCTCGTAGAATCCTCAATGTGCACCAGGTTCGTCTTCAGGTCTTCTTTCCACAGGAAGCGCATCTCCTTTCCTTTGCTCTGGTATACCCTCGCCATGCAAAGTGCCGTGCTCAGGTATTTGCTTGTGTACGGCCCGTAGACGTGTGCCATCCTCATCACTATCAGGTTCAAGCCTTCGATCTTGGCCAGGTCCTCCTCAGCCTTGAGTTTCCATTTCGCGAGATTCGACCAGGGTTTCGGCTTGTCTGACTCTTTGCTGGGTGCGCTGTCGGGCTTGTAGACCATGCCGGTGCTGACTTCGAGGAAGCATTTGACCTTGCGTTTTGCGGCTTCGCGGCCAATGGCCATGGACAGGCCGTAGGAGCGGAGCTCGTAGACCTTCTCGTCTTGGGCGAAGCGGGTCTCGCCGCCGCAGTTGAAGACATAGTCGAATTCGGCGCCGCCTTCACGGTCGAATATTCGCGGGAGGGATTCTGTAGGGTTCGAATTAGCCTCGAACGTCTTGTTGTAGACATCCCTTGGACCCAGAGACACGGTCAGGGGTACGCACTCTCCTGCGCCGCATCCGCCTGTATGAATCGCTCTCTTGAGCACGCCTCCTTGAATTCAGGTGCAAGCCATGCCAGCTCCGGGAGATGTTTGTCGACGATGCGAATCTGCGAGGCGAGGTTGTTGTCGTGGATGTACTTGGCGAGGTGTCGCCCGGTGTAGCCTAATGCACATGGTCAGCCCTCGTGGCATGCTTGGGTTGTGCCCAGCGCGAGCCTTACCCAACCCTCCTATTATCAGCACCGAAGGCTTTTCTGAAGCCATTTCTGGGGTCGCGTATGTTCGTGATCTGCGTCTCCTGTGCGCGCAAGAAGAGATCGCTAGGGGATTCTGAAGGGCGCAGTGGGCGGATGGTGTCTGCTAAGGCCAAAGTCGGGGGTGGAGATTTGAGCGGTGCGGATCGCGCTCAGACCGTCTTTGCGAGGAACCAACTGGCGAGGGACAATATCACGGCTGCTATAAGCGAAGCGTCTTGCTGCGATCGTCTGTCTTGCTCACGTTGGAAGAAAGATAACACGCGGCGTTCGTGATCGCGGGCGTCGAGCTGGAACGAGAGGGACTAACCACGAAGAGAGATACTCCAAGTAGGATACCGCGGCACCACAACGATGTCATATAACTCAGGCCCAATATGCGCGACTCATTGACCTGCAGGAGGGGGGCAGTCAGGCCGATATTTAAATGTGCACACCCAAGCCCGGCGATAATTCTCTTCGCAAGAGGCCACGCCCATCACTGAGGCTCAAAAAACCAACTATGGCCGCCAGTAGCAGTCATGGTCGGGCACTTGTGGCTGATCCAATGCACACCATAGTGGTCCGCTCCGCAAGCAAGTCGACCGAGATTATGTGGGCTTCGTATGTAGCGAGCCCGCGACAATTGTATTGAAGGCGCCCGCCGCCACCCGCCACGTTATGCAACTTGGGCACGAGCACGCATTGCGATCCGCTCCACCGTATCCCCTCATATTCACAGCATGACGTTTGCTGTTCCTATCTCCTGGATACATAGCGGTTGTCGCGGGAGATGTACAAGAAGCGGGCGGTGAACGACGGCGCGCTCCCGCAGTGCTGGACCTTGTCTCGAGCTTCAATACTTTGGGCGCATGACAGCCCGACAGTGGGGGTGAACTCCCCCTGAGTTCGCACCAACAGAGCTATCGGGCAATCCCTGACTGACGTAGCCATCTATCCATGGGCGTTCTCCGACGTTGTGTACAATGTGTAAGCCACATTCGCCATCCTTCAACGAGCGATTACCGAATAAAAAGCAAACAAGTGCGGAGCCGCGAGGTCTGTCGCTAAATCGCCTTCCCCTTTACAGACACGATGCTGGGGTTGTCCTTCTAGCTTAACGTCTAGCCTGCATAAAACCCTCGCTTCGTAACAAGTTCAGATGACTTCTACTAGGCTAGGCACCGTGACAAGAAATTCGGCTCGTAGCATTGCCGATATGTATTCAATATTATGGCCATTGAGTCAAGTAAGACCTCGTAGCGGCCGATTCAGACGGCACGAATGCCGTCAGATGTTGCTGTGATTCCGCGGAATGGTGACTACTCATCAGCCCAACGCCCTCGTCGGCGACTTAACATTTATTGTCAAGCCAAGAGACGGCGCCTCCAACATACACAGTTCGTACCGGCGTTGTGTCATGCAGCTCCGGGCTCCGAGGGCCTGTCGGCGCCGGGTACCGTAGCACACGGCGTGCGAATCTAGAGATCTCTTCGATCTGTACCTCCTATCAATAAATGTAACGCAGGTACCTAGGCCGTATCATTGGCTGCGACGCACTTTCTTACACCGCTCTATGCCACTCATCGTGATTGTGCGACCCGGCCGACATGCAGTTTGCATCCAGAGCAGGTTGTGTGACGGTGCAATTCAAGACAGACAGGCATGCATGCACAACCTCGGAGTCGAACAGCAGTTCATGCATAGAATGTCACTAAGGATGGTGATCGTCCCGCACTTGCATATGCATCAGTAATCCTTTTCAGCTGAGTCTCTATTTGATATATTGCTGTAGATGACTGGCTAGATCGCAGAGCTACTATGAATATCTTAAAGCTAGGCAGTGGACTCCCTGAAGTAAAATGAGATCGCAAAGTCATATCGCATGCTCGCCGAACCGTACCACCCATGCCCTTTCATACGGAAATAGTACTAAATGCCATCGTGCTTTTCTTCGCCGTATGTCGCCCAGTCAGTCTCACCCTATGATGCTGTGTGCACCCGATGCAAATCTAAGAAGATGTCCGAAGACAAGGAAACCCCGCCTTGCATGCATGCTTCGCTCTAAAACTCCCAGGTCTCGTCGACTGACTTGATGGCCCAGTCGAACTTCTCGCGGAGCGTCTTGGAAAAGAACTTCTCAATGGGTACGTCGAACTTCTTGGAGAAGACCACCGTGAGACGAGGGTCGATGTAGTTCTAGTTGCGGTTAGTCAGAGATCATGCAAGATGGCCGGGAAGTGACTTACGATTTTGGACGTGCCAAGGGCAACCTCCTTGTTGCCCTCCTTGTCCTCCATCTGGATCTTCATGTTCTCAATGCGCTGGTTGAGCTTGTCGATGTTACCCTCAAGCTTGTCGACTGTTGGACCCTTGCCCTCAGCCTCGACCTTGCCAGTCTTGTTTTCCTTCTTGTACTTGGCGGCCAGCTCATTTACCTTCTCCATACGCTCCTCGAGCTCCTTAGGCTTCATCTCCTTCTCGCCGTCGGCCTTGAGCTTCTCGTTCTCCTTCTCGAACTTCTTGGTGATCTTTTGTCGCATCTCTTCGATCTCTGCCTCCTGGTGCTGTTTGACCCACTCCATGTCGAGATCTTCGGGTCGCTCAAAGTACTCAGCACCCTTCTTCTTCTTGATCTTCGGATCCACGTCGATCATCATCATCTTGGTCCTCCAGACCTGATAACGAAGACCATTAATCTTACAGAAGTTAGCATAGTAAAACAGCGGAATGTGCGACGAAAACATACCCTCTCGTTCATCTTCTCGATGGAGGTTGCGTGACTCGCAGCGACAGTACGCTTGTGGTTACACAGGATGGCAACTTCACGATTGGCATCGTTGTAAGCCTTCACCTTCTCCTGGACTGTGCCAGTAGCCTTCATCTCCTTGAGCAGCCGAGCCATTGTGTACGAGGCGTTGTAGGTACGGAATACTTTTGCGGTGAGACCAGGCATGTAGCTTGTCAGATGCTTGTTGAGACCCGACGTGGTCA